GTAAAAAAATCATCCCCTGGGTTTTTTTTTTTTGGGGGGGGGGGGGGTTTAGTTTTAAACGACAAAAATTTTCGTTTTACCTACTCAGTAAACAACTAGATAACAAAACAACTTATTGCTATTAAAATTCAGTAAAGTATGCATTATCAATCGTTACTTTTTTGTTTGTATCATTGTTTCTATTATTAGTAACAAAAACAATTTTTTTACGTAACCTTGGACAAAATTACGTATATAAATAAAACAAAAATAAGCGAAACAATAAAAAATTATAATACATTTGGGTGTCCAGAAATGTTATGCACCAGTTGGTAGTGAATCATTGAGAATTATATTCTTATCAATATCTATGATAGTTTCGTCATGCTTAAAAAAAAACTACGCAAATAAATATTCGTCAATGACGGTGTATCTAACGGATGACAATGACTAGTTAATGGAGATGTGTTTTATTATCTATGCATCTTTCAATCATATTATATATGAGGACGAGGTGCAATAAGAACGAGAATAGCCCCATTTCAGATCTTTTCAAAAGGTATCTATAATGAGCGAGCAGGTGATTTTATTGTGTTCTAGACTCCTGAATCCTCTTCAGACTTGATGTTTTTCCGTTCAATTGTCCACCAAATGAGATGCTGGCCAAGTTTCTACGATGTTGTGTCATAAAGTGTCATAGAAAATACGATATAGGAGAGAAAAATACGAACTCAACGCGCTCTTTCATTTGATACAACCTTCAAGGTTCTACGTTAGTGAATGTAGTCAGCAGACGTTCTACAAGTTAGGCCAGATTTGCCGGAAAATGACGAAAATGCATTTTTCCGCTGCGGGGGTGAAATGGCTATAACTTTTTTCTAACAAGGCTAGAGACTTGTAGTTTTCACCATTCCATTCTGCTTGCTGAGCTCTATAAGATGAAGTAGGTCTAGTCACTGACGTCAAAAGTCGATGTACATGGTGGTAGGTTTTATATGGATCGAGCCTATCCGTCGACACCAAAGCATCACTCTCCAGTAGTAATATCCGAAAAAAGTGAGTGTTCGCACTTTCAACTAGAAACGAATTACCAGCCATTTTGTAGACTTTTGAAAGAGCTTTCTTTCGATATATAGTGTAGACCGCAACCTAGTTCGATCATGATGAAAAAATAGAAATAGTATCGTGGGCTATGCTGAAAGGGTCATTTTTAACAGTAATATTCCAAAACCGTGGATGTTCGCAGTATACATAACAATTAAACAACAGATAATTTTGTTCGCCGTTTCAAGCTGCATCGAATGATATATAAAACTTTCCTTCAAACTTGTTTCATTCCAAGAAAAGTACTAAAAAGGAGAAATATGAAAAATTTTGAAAATGTTAAAAAAATTGAAAAATTTATTAAGAGAAATATGAAAACATCATCAGATTGGGTTAGGTTCATTGCTCGACTTTGCAGAAAGAAAAAAGGAGGACAGAAGTTATTTAGAGAAGAAAAACAATACAATAAAACAAGAAAGAAAGAACTACACTGTAGCTGTTCGAAATATAAAAATAAATGGTTGTTATTTTCTACGTACATGTGCATCCTAGGCTAAGAGACTATGGTCGTGTGTGCAGGTAATGTTTTATAAAAGAAAAACAAAATGACATGAGTCATGGCTTAAATGGTTAGTTATCACAATATACTGGGGGATAGCATATAATTTACTTTCACCTGGTCAAGCAGTCGGTGAACATCTCGAAACGTATGGAGAAGAAATTAGATAGTAAGAGGTTCATCTCTTAAAGATGACCTTTATTACAATGATCGATCAACATACGTCCAATATCGTCTTTTCCTGTGTCATCAGCACAGAAAAAGTGTACATTCAACGAATTGCTATCGTTG